AAAGTTAAAATCCAAAATTACAAAAATCTTGCTAAAGGTTTATAATCTTAAAAAAACTTATGTTTAAATAAATTCTTAAATTGAAATTTTTTTTTGTATATGACCCGGGGTTCAGACTGGTTTATCCAACAAATTTTTCCTTGGCCATAACAAGTTTTATAAAAATTTCGACTTGTTCGTTTGATATTCATTTAAAATTTATGATATATTTATATACAAAAATATAGGTAAATATAAATCTCCCAAATATAACATTTTTATAATATATGAAATGCAAATTTTTTATAAAATATATTTATTATAGGTTCAGGCTTAGGTATTATCAAAAACTCTTTTATTTATTGATATTATAGAGGCATAGGCGATCTGAACTATACTATTTTTATTATGAAATTAAATTCAAAAAAAAATATAGATAATATAAATTTCCCAAATACATTACATGTTTATATAATAAATGAAATCTAAATTTTTTTAAAAAATATATATTTATTATAGTTTCAGGCATAGGTATTATATTAAAATATCTTTTATTAATTGATATTATAGAAGCATAGAATTAAAAGGATCTGATCTATATAAACTATTTTTTATTATGATTAAAATTTTTTAAAAAATGCCTCTATTTAAGGGTGCGTATGGTACTTAATATTATCTGAAACTTTTTTGAATCTTATATAACGCGATGGTAAAGAAAACAAACTTGCCTTTTTAAAAATGTCTAATACTCTAAAAAGTATCTTTATCATCATATTTTAGTTATTAAAAAGATATCTTATAGGATCTTTGAAATAAATTAAACATATAAATGAATTTTAAAATTGCTGTCTTTAGATGTATCCTTTTATCCGAGTGTACTTTTTTCTGTGTAATGGTATTTTTGTACAACATATTTAAGTGTATAATTAAGTATATAACATTTGAACATTTGTTTGGTTTTCAAAATTGAAGCAAATGTCTTCATTTTATAAATCCGACTGAATTATCTGAAGAAAAGCTTATTAGATAAATATAAGCACATATATAATTATTACAGTATAAAAATGCGTCTATTTTAAAATTTATTTTGAATACCTTAAAAAGTAATTTTTTTGAAAATAGTTTTCAGTTACTTTTGATCCGATCCTTTTATCTAGGATATTAGATAAACTTGAAATTAAAAACTCCATTTAAATATTTTATTATTTAACTTTATTTAAAAAATGCTAAATATTTTTTTAATAATTGTTAACATTTATTTTATCAACTTAAGTAAATGACTCGAAAAAACTAGTGGATAAAGAAAGTAAACTGAAACATTTTTTTTATCTAATTTAATTCATTTTGAAACTTTTTATATCAAGTTTTTTTACTTATGAATTATTAGTTGATTTTTTTAACTTATGAAATAGAAGAGCATAAACAATTATTTTTGTGAATATCGGGCTAGAATTATTATATCAAAGATTTTAGAATTAAGAGACAAGCACAAAAAAAATATTATTCCAAATATTTTGAATGTAATTAAAATAAGTAAAAATTATTAATTTAAATTCTAAAATTGATATCTTTTATACGATGCTTTTTTATAAGTGGTATATTATCATAAAATGTATTTTTGTCACGGAAAGGTCTCTTTGTGAAAATATTTTTATGTTAAATTTGTTTGTCTACATTAAATTAGAGTCAATTTAATTAATATGCTATTTCGCAAGAAGGAGTTTTGGTAATATTTTTTTAAAGAAAGGTTGAATATTTTTATTTTTTATTCATATAAATTTTTTTATATCAATATAACTAACGCATTCAGAATATATACTAAGTATAATAAAACATTTTTTTACATTTTAAATGATAGAATTTTTCTTTTATATTATTATAAATGATGTTCAAATATATCAATAAGAAACTCCTGTGCCATACTCTAAAATCATATAAATACTGAAGGCATAAAGCCGCACACATTCCATACAATCTAATAGCTAATCGATTTAACGTAGATAAATTAAGATGTGATGGTATGAAAATTACTTATTAGTCCCTCCAAATCATTAATATAGGAGTTTTTTTTAACCTAAGAAAACCCAAATAGTCTAAACTATATAACATCTTCTTTTTATACATCCCATACAGAATTATCAGAAGAAAAACAAATTAGATAAAGATACGCATCACCATATGAAAATACCTAAATTTTTAAAATTTATTTTAAATTCTTTAAAAAGTATTTCTTTATGAAAATATTAAACATTTACGTTTTTGCTCAGTTACATTTGATACGATACTTTTATCGAGGATGTTAGTTAACCATGAAATTACAAACTCCATTTAATTATAATATTATTATTTCATGAAAGAATATTGATAATATTTTTGTTATCATATATTTTTATCAACTTTAGTAAATGACTCGAAAGAACAAGTGGATAAAGAAAGTAAAATAAAACATTTTTTTAATATACTAAATATTTGCTTACCTGAAATTAGCTTTAAGTATAAATGATATATAAAAGATAGTGCAATAATTTAAGCATTCTCAAAGCTAAAACAATTCATTAAGCAAAACATAAACGAGATGGAAGGAACTATGTATATATCAAATACAAACTTTCTTAAAATTATATAATGAAATACTAATTTAACAAATAGGATCGTAATCTTTATTAATACAAAGATTCCATGTCTAAAAATATATTTTTTTAAATATGATTCTATATATGATCCGATGTACTACGTGTTTTACAAAAATCTTCAAATAAAAATTTGAAGATTTTTTTCGCCCAAAATTTTGAGGAAAAAATCTTTGAAGATCAATTTTTTGCGAAGATTTTTTCGCTAAAAAAAATTTTGAGCTTGCTCAAAGAAGATTTTTGAGCAAAATAAAAAATATTTTTTGTAAAAAAATCTTCTATAATTTTGAGAAAATATTTTGAGAATTTTATAATAAAATAAAATCTTTTGTAAGGAAATCTTTATTAAAATATTTTTGAAATTTTGATCTTAAAATTTTTTGGTAAATTCTTTAAAAATAAAATTTTTGATATATATTTTTTTTAATTTTATTATGTTAATGAAAATATTTTTTTTGAATAGGTTGTAAATGTGAGAATTGGTCATAATACCGACTGCATTTTTTTTAATATTTGGTATAAGTAATAATGATTATTTTAAAAATGTAATGTCATAATTTTAATGTTTTATATTTAATGTAAACTATAAAAGTGACAATTGTCATAATACTCATCTCAGAACCTTTAAAAATAATTATAATTAAAAAAGGCTAGTTGAGCATGTTTTGAGATGGTTTCAGTGATTGTAAAGCATATAAAGGTGACAATTGTCATAATACTTATTTCACATATGTTTTAATTGGAAATAGAGAAAAATGATTATTTCAAACATGAATTAATATAATGTGTAAACTATAAAAGTGACAATTGTCATAATATTCATAACAGAACCTATAAAAATAATTTTATTTTTAGGTATTAAATAGGCGAGTCTGCCACAATAGATCCCTAAAGGGAGGGGATGCCAGCGTTGCCCTTCCCGCCCCCCGATTTTTTGAGCATGTTTCGAGATGGTTTTAATGATTGTAAAAATTGTCACAATCGTTATTTTTGAACTTTTTTAAAGCAAGTAGATAAAAATTTATTAAATATAAATAAATGTGGATGTACCATAGAGCAGTGACAATTGTCATAATCGTTATTTTTGAACTTTTTTGAATTTTTTTGAAGCAACAGAGTAAAATAATAAATTGTAAACATGTTAAATTGAAATTTAAATGTGGATGTACCATAGAAAAGTGACAATTGTCATAATCGTTATTTTTAATCTTTTTTGAATTTTTTTGAAGCAAAAGGGTAAAATTATATATTGTAAACATGTTAAATAAAAATTTCAGTGAAGATGTACCATAGAAATGTGACAATTATCATAATTGTTATCTTTGAACTTTTTTGAATTTTTTTAAAGCAAATAGGTAAAAATATATATTGTAAACCTGTTAAATTAAAATTTCAGTGAATATGTACCATAGAAAAGTGACAATTGTCATAATCGTTATTTTTAATCTTTTTTGATTTTTTTTGAAGAAATTATATATTGTAAACTTATTAAATTAAAATTTCACTGAAGATCTACCATAGAAAAGTAAAATTGTCTTAATCGTCATTTTTAATCTTTTTTAAATTTTTTTGAACTTACAGGGTAAAATAATAAATTGTAAACTTGTTAAATTTAAATGTGGATGTACCATAGATAAGTGACAATTGTCATAATGGCCATTTTTAATCTTTTTGGAATTTTTTTGAAGCAAAAGGGTAAAATAATAAATTATAAACATGATAAATTAAAATTTAAATGAGGATGTACCATAGAAATGTGACAATTGTCATAAACGTTTATTTTAATCTTTTTTGAATTTTTTTTAAGCAAAAGGGTAAAATTATATATTGTAAACATGTTAAATTAAAATTTCAGTGGAGATCTACCATAGAAAAGTGACAATTATCATTTTTAATTTTTTATTTAATTTTTTTGAACTTAAAGGGTAAAATAATAAATTGTACACATGTTAAATTAAAATTTCAGTGAATATGTACCATAGATAAGTGACATATCTAATTCTCAACTCTCTTTTGAAATTATTTTAATATATATATTTTGAAATTATCACATTACTCATCATCATATCCATTATTTTTAAATTAGGTTAATATGATCTTGTTGGGAAACACTTAAACCTCTGGGCAGATGATAATAGTATCATATATGTTAAATTTTTAGAGCCAACCGGAACGGAGTTGAACTAGAAAGATGCATCAATATAAACATGATATTTTTGGGAACAACAAATTTAAAAATATTTTTTCTTTAATCTTTTAAATCAATTTTAGATCTTAGAAACTACTATTTGGGTATATCTAGTAAAATACGCCCCCCTCTGATTATACTATTCATACAAAAAATCTAAATCAGTCAAATATATGAATTTTTATTTATTAAAATTTCAATGTAAACAATAACTTTATAATGAAATAGGTTATATAAATAATTATTTAAAATATCACATTATTTAACAATGTACGATTAAGCTTTATAATTAAAATATCATCAAGTATATCTTTGTCTAATCTTGTCCTTAGAGAGGTTACAGTTAGTGCCAATGCACTAAATGCTCTCTCAACTGAGACCTGGGTGCAAGGAGCAGCAAGAATTATTTGAGATAATTTAAATAATTCTGCATCTTGGTGTTTTCTTGAAACCCAATATTGCAAAATATCTTGTGAGGATGGCAATCTTTTGTTGTATAATAACGATTTTATTTTTAGCTTGATATCGCTATTACATAATTCATAAAATATAGGTCCCTTCTTGCAATCACGCTCAATGTAAAGGTCAAGTTTTGTTTTTTTATAATCACTAGTGGAAGGCATAACTAGAGTTGTATTTTCTTCATGAGGGTCAATAGCTTGCAATTGTTTCCAAGTTGCAAATATATGTTCCTAAAATAAAAAGATGTATATTATAAATTTATTAATTTACCCTGGCCAATATTTTATCTTCTTCCAAAGGATATTTTCCATTTTCATAATGGAATCTAGGATCCATATATATCGCACTACGAAATGCGTCATTTTGAAAAAGATAGCTTTCTCTAATGTTTAAACATTCCAACATACTTTTAGATAAATTATTATCCATTTCCTCCAGCTCCATTTTGCATTCTAGCCATGAAGCAAAAAAATCACCTATTACAATATTACTTTTTTGTAATTTCATTGTGAATTTGTATAATGGGAAAAGGACTGATGTACCTAATAGGATAATATCCCATAAATCGAAACTAATAAAAGTTTCTGGGTATAATTCACCCATTTTAGTATAAAAGGTTTTATTATCCATTAGATTTTTCATCATTAGATAAGTACTATTCCACCTAGTAACAGTATCTAGCGTGGGTTTCGAAACTTTGTCCATTATAAATAATCTTTTATATTTGTGAGATTTTATCAATTTAATTATAATACGAATTTTCTCTAAGTCTAGTTTTAAATATTTTTTGATAAACATGTTTACAGCAAGTTGTATAGTATGTGCAGAACATCTAATGCAACTTAAGCCAAAGCTTTTGCTTATATCATCTGATATATTTTCCTCGTCAATACCCTCTGGTGTTTCTTCATCAGAATAAACGGAGACATTTTCATCATCAATACATACATTTTCCTGATAACTTACACTTGTATTAAATAATATCTGGCTTAAATTGTTTTCATTAGAATTAGATAGATCATTATCATTATTTAATTGATCTCTAGCCATAGTGTCAACCATTTTCAGCATATTGGCGCCGTTATCCACAGTAATGCTATATATTTGTTTTAAATCTATCTGGTATTTTTTTAAAATTGTTTGGATTTCTTCTTTTAGGTTTATACCTGTATGAATTTTTATTAGTTCTATCATTCCTAGTGTTCGTACTTGTATCTGGCCATCTTTTATATACTGAACATTAATACCTAATATTGATTTATTATATCTAGTAGCAGTATCAATTTTTAAAGAAATGAGCTTGTTTTTTAATTCATGTATAATTTGAAGTCTAATTTCGGATGCGGTATATTTTATTTTGTCGACCACTGACCGAGTATTTATTTTCATTTGAAGAGAATGACATATAGGGTCTAGTAAAATACGGAAACCCTCATAATTTACTAAATTTATGGGTAAATTATGGACTGTAATCAACCATACTATACATTCAAAAACCTAAAAAATAATTATTTATTCTTTATTTAAATATTAATTACTTTAGATTTATCGATCTTAATTTTTGGGAATTTTTCTTTTGCTGTATTTCTAGCATTGAAGGACGAATCACTATTAGATTCATCTGCTTTCATTACGTTTGGGTGTTGAGAGGTTATGTGTCTTTTAAGATTTGCTAGAAAAATATATTGAAAAATACATTAAATAATTTATTTTACATGGTATTGACTTCATCTTTTTGTCACACATGCTGCACGTCGCTAAATTTTCAGAAGAATCGATTAAAAAATGCTCCTTTAGAATATCTTTAAGATTTTTTTTATTTTGCATTATATATAAAAAAAAAATTTTGTAATTTTTAATTTTAACTTTCTTGTTTTTTCCTTTTATTTTTATTTTCACTTGTTTATTATATTTTGAAATAAAAAATCAGGAATTAATGTTATATAAAATAAAAAAAATGAATAAAATAATTGTTTTATTGAGGCCAAATAAAACCCCCATTTATAAATTTGGATGGGATACATTTATTTAATGTTTTTTTTATTTATATTTATAAAAAATCGAATGTTAAATGAAAATATAAAAAATGCATTTTCTTTTCTTTTCGTTTTTCCCATTGTCTCTCTCTCCCTCCTTTATTTATTTTTATTTAATGTTTTGCCTTATGAATTAAAGAAAATAAAAATCTAAAAAAAATGAAATTTGCTGGTGCCAGCGAGGCGGCACCAGATTGAAAAAAAGTATTATATAATTTTTTTTTTATATTTTTTTAATTTTCATTGCTGTAATGTAATGGTACCCAAAACCGATACGTTTTCCCCCTTGAAGGAGCGAGTTTGACGGATGGCCTCTTATTCTGTTTATGGCTATTGCAATTTTTTCCTGACTCCAATTGCTATATTTCTTTTGTTATCAGAGTTTATTGTAGAAAAATTTATTTGATTGGGTTAAGAATTATTTGTTATACCAAATAAAACTGAATTTGAAATATTTTGAGAATAAGATGGTTCTTCCTGTGAGGAAAAATCTAAAAGATTATATATAATAAACAATATAATGTTAATTGGTACCAACATGTAGATGTAGAAAGATTTAAGAGACCTGGAGATAGTGACTATTTTACTAATTTTGTAATTTTTAATATCTTAAAAAATGGGAATTTTATTTCCTGGGAATTATATTCATAGATTCTTTTTAATGTTTACCTAATAGATTTTAAATAATAAACTAAAGTTAAAATTTTTTAGCCCGCTAATTGTTAAAATTTTGTAACCGATTCGCTCGCACTTTTTAAAATTATTAAGCTAGGCCGCCCATGGACGGGCTTCAGCTAAAAACCTGCTCGTTTCAGCAAATAAATTCTAAAATGATCATAATGATTATGACAATTGTCATTTTTCTATGGTACATCCTCATTTAAATTTTAATTTAACATGTTTACAATATATAATTTTATATTTTTGCTTCAAAATAATTTAAAAAAGATTAAAAATAACTATTATGACAATTGTCATTTTTATATGGTAGATCTCCACTGAAATTTAAATTTAACATGTTTACAATATATAATTTTACCCTTTTGCTTAAAAAAAATTCAAAAAAGATTAAAATAAACGTTTATGACAATTGTCACATTTCTATAGTACATCCACATTTAAATTTTAATTTTACATGTTTATAATTTATTATTTTACCCTTTTGCTTCAAAAAAATTCCAAAAAGATTAAAAAAGGCCATTATGACAATTGTCACTTATCTATGGTACATCCACATTTAAATTTAACAAGTTTACAATTTATTATTTTACCCTGTAAGTTCAAAAAAATTTAAAAAAGATTAAAAATGACAATTAAGACAATTTTACTTTTCTATGGTAGATCTTCAGTGAAATTTTAATTTAATAAGTTTACAATATATAATTTCTTCAAAAAAAATCAAAAAAGATTAAAAATAACGATTATGACAATTGTCACTTTTCTATGGTACATATTCACTGAAATTTTAATTTAACAGGTTTACAATATATATTTTTACCTATTTGCTTTAAAAAAATTCAAAAAAGTTCAAAGATAACAATTATGATAATTGTCACATTTCTATGGTACATCTTCACTGAAATTTTTATTTAACATGTTTACAATATATAATTTTACCCTTTTGCTTCAAAAAAATTCAAAAAAGATTAAAAATAACGATTATGACAATTGTCACTTTTCTATGGTACATCCACATTTAAATTTCAATTTAACATGTTTACAATTTATTATTTTACTCTGTTGCTTCAAAAAAATTCAAAAAAGTTCAAAAATAACGATTATGACAATTGTCACTGCTCTATGGTACATCCACATTTATTTATATTTAATAAATTTTTATCTACTTGCTTTAAAAAAGTTCAAAAATAACGATTGTGACAATTTTTACAATCATTAAAACCATCTCGAAACATGCTCAAAAAATTTTTTCTCGCCTATTTAATACCTAAAAATAAAATTATTTTTATAGGTTCTGTTATGAATATTATGACAATTGTCACTTTTATAGTTTACACATTATATTAATTCATGTTTGAAATAATCATTTTTCTCTATTTCCAATTAAAACATATGTGAAATAAGTATTATGACAATTGTCACCTTTATATGCTTTACAATCACTGAAACCATCTCAAAACATGCTCAACTAGCCTTTTTTAATTATAATTATTTTTAAAGGTTCTGAGATGAGTATTATGACAATTGTCACTTTTATAGTTTACATTAAATATAAAACATTAAAATTATGACATTACATTTTTAAAATAATCATTATTACTTATTCCAAATATTAAAAAAAATGCAGTCGGTATTATGACCAATTCTCACATTTACAACCTATTCAAAAAAAATATTTTCATTAACATAATAAAATAAAAAAAAATATATATCAAAAATTTTATTTTTAAAGAATTTACCAAAAAATTTTAAGATCAAAATTTCAAAAATATTTTAATAAAGATTTCCTTACAAAAGATTTTATTTTATTATAAAATTCTCAAAATATTTTCTCAAAATTATAGAAGATTTTTTTACAAAAAATATTTTTTATTTTGCTCAAAAATCTTCTTTGAGCAAGCTCAAAATTTTTTTTAGCGAAAAAATCTTCGCATTTTTTGATCTTCAAAAGAGCAACGATCTGTGAAGATTTTTGAATTTTGAGCAAATGTTAAACCCTGACTACGTTATTTGGGCAAATATACTCTTTTTTTAACTTAAATAAACGCTGCTATTTAGGATGGCTATATTTTTTTAAATTTTATAAGAGTTTTTGAAATCTAAAAATCCTTGTTACTCCGTGCTTCCCTAATTAACAAATTAGATCTCTTCAAATATGGATTCGGCCTATTTCCAAAATTCCTTTCATATATATAAACCTCAAATTTTTATAGATAACTTGTTAAGCCAAAACAAATTAAATTATTATAATAGATTAGTAATTGCCTTTACAAAAATACTACATAATATTTAACATAGAAAAATTTGATTATATTATTAAATATTGGGCGTATATAATTTTTGCATGGTTAAATTGAATAATATTTTACCCAAGAATAGATAATAGTCTCTAAAAATTATATTTAAATGTAGAATGGAATATATAATTTTTAATAATTAATTAGTGTTTATATTAAGTTTTATGATGAAATTTGGTGAATAAGATAATTTCCCTACCAAAAAATATAACTTGAAATATGAAATGTATGTCACTATTTAATAAAAGATTTATTAATATAACGGCAGCACAGACTTATGAAAAATAATATTCATTATATTTCTTCAAACATCTTTTTGTGGTAAAATAAATAAAATGCACTTTTCTTTCTTCTGTTTTTGAAGATACTTGTTCCTTTAAACTATAATTATAATTTTAATTGTATTAACATTCTAAAAATCTGTTAATCTTCTAAAGAATATGTTTAAAGTTATATATATATTCATTCATATGATTAGGTTATGTCATAATCAATTGTGTTTATTTTCTTGATATAATAATTCATATTTAGTTCCTGACAATTATCACACATCAAGTAACTAATTTTATTGATATCAGTTGAGGGTATTATATTAATTATATGGATATCTCAGGTCTTTATAAACAACGAATTCTTTTTCATGGCACAAGTTTTCTATCAAAATTTTTGGTTTCGTTCAATTTTTATTTAAAATATTAAAAAATTTAATAATTGTTTAAGTTATCTTCCAAATACATGAAAAATATTGAAATATCTTTTTAAAAATAAATAATATTTTTTACAGGATATTTAGGTAAAAAAAACAAAATTTATATTTTTTTTATTTAGGCTGGTATTAAATTGTCGGGTCAGGGTTGTGTTTCCAATCGAAATAAAGAGTCAATTTATATGGTTGATTTTTTGAATACTTCCATCTTATTCGAATAGATTATGAAATTTCTGAGATTATTAGATATTAAGTTTTATCCTATCATATTTTTCCTTGGCTTAAAGGTAATTCCCTTTTTTTCTTTTTTTATCTTCTTTCCGGTTATCAAAAGTAATATAAAATGCCATTCATTTTCTGTTATTGAAGAAACCATATCTAATTAAAGGAAAAAATTTTTTTTTAAAAAAAAAGTATTTGTTAATTAATTAATAACTGAATTTAGAACTTGTCGCTATAGACCATTTATTACAATTT